TCTTCTCTGCTTCTCCTCGTGCCTCTTCCTCATCGGTGGATTCATCTGTCAAAACTTCCACCCCCATCTCGTGGGACGAGGTTCCATCACTTGCCACCTCTTCGTCCGGTGAGCTCACTTCTTCTTCTTCTTCCATGCCTGCTTTTGCATCTACCGTTGGGATCTGAATGATTCCAAGGTCTTGATTGAGTCTCCTCATCCAGTCTTCTACCTTGGACTCTCTTCTGTCCCCGTCTGACGCTTCTTCTTCTTCCTCCGTCTCTTCTGACTCCGCATCTTCCTGCTTCTCCTGATCTTCGCCTGTTCCTGTCAGGAAGGCGTACTTGTGTGGTGTTGTTGTGAGAATTGCCTTTTGCTCCTCTCCTTCCTGTGACTGCCAAAACTTCCTGAGCTCCTCTGCTTCATGCTTGCCTCCTTCCAGCAGGTTGATGCCTGGATGTCTTGTGACGGTTAGCTGCATGGGCTTCGATCTGCCGTTCAGCTCCAGCTGTTTGTCTGCAAACCTGAAGACTGCTTTCCAACGGCTCAGTTCTCCTGGGCCTATCAGGCCTGGGCATGCTTCACCTCCTCCTTGGACTATTGACATCCGAATGATGTCCATCTTGCCATGGATCATCACTGGATATAGGCATGCCTCCTTGCTGACAATTGGGGCCCCTGCCCCAAATTTGTAGATCTCCCTTTCGGAGATGACTTCCCAAGGGATACCAAGCTGGTCCAAAACCTTCTGGTAGTGCCGATGCCAATGCACTCCACCCACTGCATTCCGACAGCCGCTGTCTGCTATTGCTAGCCCCGGCTTCTGGGACTGTATGAACTGTGCTGCTTCGTTGTATATGCTTGATCGGCTGTCTGGGACGTACCAAAACTCGGTAACTATGTCCCTGGGTGGTCCAGGTATGGTCTCTTTCAGCTGGGTGTCTTGTTCTTCTTCATGTGTGATCATTTTGCTCTGCAGGATTTCTCCTCTGACATCCTTTGTCACCCTGCAGCACACTTGTTCCCACGCCGGACCACCTGGATTGATCATCTTGTAGTGCTTGGCACCCTTGTCTTCACGGATCCAGACCTTCGCTTCCTTGGGAAGTCCTTCAGGGGCTTCATGCTGCATTGTCACCATCATCACCCCATGCCTCATGCTGTAATACACCACGTGCTTCAGGTCACACCTCTTGCACCTTGCGTAGTGTCCTTCGGCATTGGCTGACCACCTGAGTCCATCGAAGGGATGGGTACATCTTGCTTGTGCTTCGTTTGGTGGTGGCGCGGCACTTGATGGGACAACTCTTCCTCCCTGCATTTGTGCATCATACAGGGACTTTCGGAAGTCCTTGAGTTCCTTCTCCTTCACAGGCTTCGGTTTGTCCTTCCCTTCTGGTGGGGCCAACACCTCTTGGCTTCCTCTCCCTGGATCGGCATTGCTGTGTGCAAAAGGGTCTTCAAACCCTTCGCCTGTGTATCCTCCTTGGCCCACCTCAGGCATGAGATGGTGTCTTTGTTCCCATGCTTCCTGTGCTTCCCTCTGCTCCTCCTCCTGAAGAGCTCTGTGAAGCTCCTTCTTCTCCTGCCTGCTCATGTTTGGCAAGGCCGCTAGGACTTCCTGTCCATGCAGTCTCACCTTGCCTGCTGTGCTTGTTGATGCCGGTGTGGGTGCATGTGCTTTTGCTTTCATCTTCGCCGCCACCTGTGCCACTTCTCTCGTCACTTCATAGCTGAATGGTCGAGAGTGTTCTTGTATGAGATCCCATCGTTCTTCTTCTTCTTCACTAGTGATCCTCTTCCTTGTCTCACTTGGCATTGGGTGATCTCTCATAATTGCGCCACACTCAGCGCAGAACCTGGCGGTGCTTGGAGAGAAGTGGAGGCATTGCATACACTGAGCTTCAGTGTTCACCATGAAAGTGAAGTGCACCGCATTGGTCTTCTTGTGAAGGGGATCTTTTCCACTCTTCACATTGGGGCACTCTGGATCGCCCTTCCAGTGGCCCTTCATGCCGCAGGAAGAGCAGGTGGAACTTTTCTTCATTTGTTCCCAGTTCTTCTCCTTCTTTGGTCGCTGGTTTCCTCCAGCTGTTGTCTTCCATCCTCTAGTCTTCTTGGCTTCTGCGGTCTTCTGTTTGGCCTTCCAGCCAGCGGCGAATGCTTCTTTCAATTCGCCCTCATCCAGCTCTCCTTCACTTTCTTCCTCTTCTGGCCCTTCATCGCCGTCTTCTTCTATGTGATCTTCTATGTAGGCTTCTCTTTCTGCCTCTTCTTCATGGCCTTCTTCCTCTGGCTCTGCCTCATCTTCTGCGTCTTCCTCATCACTTCCTCCCTCAGCCTCTGCCACATGTGTTGTGTTGTATATTTTCTTGATGAAGACCTTCTTCTTCTTCTTGTATGTCTGCTTGTGTGTGGCTCCTCCTCCATGGCCACCTTCCTGCTTGTGCTCTTGCTTGTATGTCTGTGGCTTGTATGGCTGTGGCTTGTATGGTGTGCTTCTCCTCTCTTCCTCGTGGATCCTTCCACATCGAATCCTCAAGGCCTTCTCGATTGCCAACGGGTCAAAGGTGGCACCAGCTGCATAGTAGCAGTCATGTTTCTCTCGGCGCGAGAGTGAGGCCTTTTGAAGCAACTTCTGAGCCCACGCCTTGTCGCTGAACTTTGAGTCTGGATCTATGCGGTAGTATTGCGCCCTCAGTCTCCTCATCTCTGCCAAGAAGTGAGCTATGCTCTCTCCTGGGGCTCGCCTGTACCGCTCCAGCTCTCTGTCAGCTCTTTCAAAGAGCTCCGACTCGCTCTCTCCGAAGGCCTCGTCTAAGACCTTCCAAAGGAGATGAAGTCCACCTGCTCCTGTGTAGGACGTGATGGCATGTTGCTCCAGCACATCTCTGGCTTCTCTCCTCGTTGACAGGTATATCAGCATCGCCAGTTCTTGTGACTCCAAACCATACAAGCATTGCTGTGCCTGTATGGTGCGCTTCCACTTGAGATACCTCCCCCGATCTCCTGAGAACTCCTCTATTCTCACAGAGCCAAGAGAGCTCCTAGGTCTGTTGCTGTTGTCCTCTTGCTTCACTCTTCTCCTCAACATTGACCTAATCTCTGAAGTGGGCGCTGACGACGACATGTGGCTGTCATCATCTTCATCGCCCCCATCATCGCCATCTCCTCCTGGAGTCTTCAACTGTTTGCTGTTCCCTGCTGTCTCTTTCTTCTTTGGGGTCGGCTTCACTTCTTCTTCCACCTGTACGGGCTGGCCGTTCGGTGATGCCGTGGCTACCCCATTCGACGGTGCTGGTGAGTTCTGTCCCATGCAAGCCCATGAACCAGGAATACTCCATTGTTGACCATTTGATGTGGGTGGACCATGTTGATAAACTCCATATGGTGGGGGTACTCCATGATTACCTGCTCCCATGGGTTGACCTACATATAGTCCTGAAACATGTCCTGGAACTTGTCCACAAGATTGCCCTCCGCATGGATGTGGTGATGGCATATGATACGCATGAGGGTGTGGTGCAACTGGAAAACCATAACCAGGAAAACTTGGAAATCCAACATTGTATCCACTCATCATCGGCATCGCACCCATAGCCTGAGTTCCAGCCAAGTCTCCCTGTCCACCATTGACTGATGGACCAGTACATCCACCAGGCGCCACAGGCATCGCTGAGGTACCTGACGGTGGCAGGCCGTTGGATGTTCCATTGACTACGTGTCCATGCATCATGCCATTGATCACCACGGCAGGCTGTGTCTGCCCTCCTACAGCAGTTCCGTTCAAGGTGTCCATGCCAGACTGTGATTGCACATGCACTGATGTCCCAGTAGTTTGTGCTACACCTCCACCGCTAGGATCACCTACTTGTCCACTACCTCCCGAACCACCCCAGGGATCAGTCACTGCCCAAGGGTCAGGAGCAACCTCTTCACCAGGCACTGGCACCTCCACTGCTGCCGCCAGCGCTTCCGCAGCTTGCAAGATCTCCGGCGCAGGATCCACGGCAGCCGCAGGCTGCCCCGCTGCACCTCCCGCCGCAGCAGGCTGAGCTTCATCAGCTGTCAGCTGCGCCGCCGCATCAGCAGCCGCTGGCTGCCCGCTCACCACCACATCAGTGGTCTCCGCCATAGCTCTCAGGGACGTTAAGCAGCAGCCTAATTATTCCCCCCAAGCCCCGCTACCAATGTGAATCCATGGGGCGCCACTCCCAGCAAAAGAAAACCCAGGGGGTAAACAAAGGCGCAGCAAATAGAACACAAAGCAGCAAATGCAGATGCAGTCGTTTTGCGCATGCTAAGTTGGCATCCGGATGCCTGCAGATTGATCCAAATGCAAGCGACGGCAAGAGTCACCACCAACAGCCTTAGATATGCTTGGAAGTGCACCGATTCATCACAACTACAACACTTTGCTCTCCTCCATGCAGCCAGGACTTGTCATATCGTCCGCAGGCTTGAAAGGTTCAAACTATTCAGCTTCACTGATAGTGTTGTGATAGGCTGGCAATCCGGAGGCGCAGCAGAGTTTCGAAGGGAATTGTGTTGTGGAGTTCTGTGACAGATTTCAAACAGAAAGACTCGTTGTGGGCTGGCAAAAACGCTAATATATTCCTGAAATACATTACAATTATTACAAGGTCTAAAGCAATATTATTTCAAATCGTTGTTTGCCTGTTGCTGTCCTTTCTATTGAACAATGCGGAGACAAGGTTGTTATCGAAAACCTGAGGGCTTGCAATCTTTCCCTCGAGATAAGCTTGCAGTTGAGCCGTTGAGGTGTCTTTGCAAGCCTCCAGAGCATGTAGGCGTGGGCCTTAGCACCTTGAGGTATTTTCTGTAACCCGTGTGTTGTCAGATTTAGTTGTCATCTGATTCGGATCCATTCGGATCCGGCCCGTTTGGTGTTCATTTTATTCACAGGTGCTGAAGGTCTCCACCTGGAGGTTCGAGTGTGAATTTTCAGAGCCGAGCAGTCTGTGCAGTTGGAGTGTGAAGGTGGAAGTGTCAGTTCGGTTATGCGACCCGAGGCTCCAATTACTTTTGCGAATGTTTTGATGTTCCATCAGCATTGCGGATGAGTGTGTGAGCTGTTGCATTTTGCCATTGCTCTGTAGACGTTGCTAGCTGGAGTTACCTTGATGAGCTGTGCCAACTCTCTTTGCCAGGTTCTGGACCTGAAACATAGTGCAACTTCGAGGTATTTCCGGCAGGACTCATATGCCCATGGCTGTAGAGCATTGCTTACATGTTTCGCACTAGCTGCTTCACTGCGAATATGTTGTGATTCTTTGACAAGTGCTCATCTCTCCAGAATTCCAGGCACGTGGCGCATAAGCTATACACATCCACTCTCTTCATAAATCTTGCCCAGCTCCTTCACCATGTTCGGAGGATGCCAAGAAGTATGCAGACAACGTTTTTGGTCGCCTTGCTAGCCATAGATATTTTGAAGGGTTGGCTTCCCAGCGAATATGTGACTAATGTGACTAGCATTTTTGAAGCCGTTCAAGTTGCAAACTGCCAGTGCCAGTGCCAATTCCATCCTCAAAGCTCTGAGGACTACTATGGTAGTGATCCTCCTCAATGCGTTGTGCATTGGTATAGAGCCATTCTCAGTTCCTACCTTTGATTTGGATCCTTATTCACTTCAAGATCTCAGTTTTGAATGTGCTCGGCACTCTGCTAATTCAGGAAGCAGATTACTCTGCACGGTTTTACAAGCCCACCAAACTTTACGAGGGCTACAAGCTCAGTCGGTACAAATTCATGACAGCAGGACACTTTCAGGTCGTCTTAAGCAACAACATTATGTCCACGACGCAGGGATAGTTCTCAAGATCGTGGTAGGGCAGGTCTATCCTTGCGTCACTGCCGTCTTGAGGGCGACCTTTGGCATATTGTAGTCTGTAGACTTTGGCCTGTCTTCATAATCAAAGTCAGACAAGATGTCTGTATATGTCCTGTATGTGCTTCGGTGAGATTTTGCTCCAAACTTGAAGCTGTGGCAAACAAGCACTGTCCAGAGGAGTGTTTATAGATCGTACTATATATATACATAAATGTATACTGTATGTATATATATATATATACATATATATATATATATTATACACATGTAGCTGAAGGATAGAGATACATAGATTTGTATAATTGTATAAGGTTCTAGGCCAAATTGGCTTTTTGACCTTCGAATATCAAACTGTGTATCCCTTTGCGGTAATTTTTGCTGCGCACTTTGCCACTCCAATGGGTGAAGATTTGGTACCACCTCATCTTGGAGTCAGCGCACATGACCTTCGGAACAGCCGTGTCCTCTTTCTGAAGAGTCGACAAATCACAGACTCCGATTGCGCCGCAATTTCGCCGCTTTTGAAGCAAAACAAAGCTCTCAACCAACTGTTTATTGGATACAACGACTTCGGTGATGAAGGTGCCAGGCACCTGTGTGAAGCTCTCGCTGCAATTGAAGGTACATTGCGCAAACCTTCTCTTGGCAATTGAGACAATTTCATGCAGGTTTCAACATTGGGTCTCAACATATTTCTTACCTCGTACGCATTCACATATTTCACATAATTTTCACATAATTTTCACATAATTTTCACATAATTTTCACATAATATTCACATATATAATTTTCACATAATAATGTAGTCCTTTGGAGACAAACACATCGTTCCTCGCTACTGCAATTGATACCATCTCAGGAAGTGCATGTGTTGACACGTTGACAAGGTGGTGCTCTTGAGCTTGTGGGCTTCCGCCACTGTAGACTCGGAGATGGTGCAGCACAAGCAGTGGCTGAGTTGATCAAGTCCAGCAAGACCATTGTGGATGCATGGTCTCAACATGTTTCAACATGTACATTGTTTAATGTTTCAAATGAAGCACTCTCGCCTCTTTTTTTATGTCCCCGTATAGACCGGACATACACAGACTTAAACTTGTACAGTCTATATATTCATGAATGACCTACCTATTTTTGCAAGCTTGCAGAGAAACCTGAGGGCAATGCGTCGGCTTTTGTAAAACCAAAAAGGCAGCTCTGACCAGGAAATGAAATTGTTTTCGACTCAACTGTTCAGGTATGTAATGTATATACTTACGATGTACATGTCGCGAAAGGTAGCGCCAAGCTACCTGAGTTCTCCGCTTGCTGCGCAAGCTACTAACTTTTCCTTTTGTTTGGGTCGGTGGTTCCATGCCTGATTTGGAGCGTTTAAGCTTTCGTTTTAGTCTTAGCGGTGCCGGCTTTGTTTACGCGTTGTGTTTCTTGACATTTGTTGGCCCAAAAAAGGGAAACAATGGCTTTGATATAAAATCAAACATCGGGCGAGTGCCTCGATGCAAAAACAAGGTGACAGGGAGTTGCGCAACCGTGGATAGTATAGCATTGAGATGCACGAAATAAGTATGCAACGGCAAGTGAACTTCAAACATCGTAGTTTCAAATGAGTGTGCAAGCGCAATGGGACGTTATTAGCCCTATCCCACCCCACCCCATCTCTAACTCTAACATACCATCAAGCACCTGTTCAAGTGCAACTGAACTTCAAGTAGCTCAGCACTAACTAAATCTGTAAGTGTGAGTTAAAGTGGACCTCAAGCCATGTAGCGGCAAGTAACCGTGGAATGCACGTGAACTTCAAGTAGGGTAGCATCAAACGACTATGCAAGGCAAATGCATTTGAAGTCGCGCAGCATGAAGTAAATGCGCAACTGCAAGTGGACTTCAGGCAAGGAAGCATCAAATGAGTGCGCAAGTGCAATCCACCCCACCCCACCCCACCACCCTAACCGCCCACCCACCCCACCACCCTACTACACCAGACCGTACATAGCCCGTACATTGTTGTGCGAATACGTGACACCAAAAAAACACGATTGCAATTGCAATTGAACTTTCAAAATTACACCGGCATAGACCCCAGATAGAAAAGATTTCAGAAACGCTTTTTCATGCCGCGTCAATCGGTCAGTGATATAGCGGATGTCTCGACAAGCAAATTTCACAGCATCTGCTTACTCAGTTGACATTATTCTTTGAAAACGCGTTTTGTTTTGTCTTGTTGAATGATCAAAATGATGATGCGTTTGGACTCAAAGATTTGCGTGTCGGATTGACATCACAGAGGTTGCGTCAAAAAAAATGTGTTTTCCTTGCCGCCCACGATTTCCAACCTTGGAACCTTGACATCGCATTTGAAGGCAATCCTGGTTCCCAACGATTCAAGCAATTCTGGCAACTTTCATGCATCGGTATTGCTTGGTTTTGCGTAATGGGCCGGTAACAGAACGCTTTGTTTGGCTTAATGTTAGAATGATATGAAAACATGTTCTTTACAGCCTTTTCGTTTTGCTTAATGGGCCGGCATCAAGTTGCTTATCTGTAACACGCGGCAGTCCTTGGTAAACGCACACGCCTCCATATGACTAGGTTCCTATTTTCATCACGCTTTGATGTTTTCATATGACTGATTCTCCACGCCTGCCACTGAACAAAACCATTAACGGACTACGATTGCAGAAATTGCCAGTTTCACGAAATTGAAACTCATGGTTCCCAACGTGGCAACCATAGATTACCATTTCCAGCAATTACCAAATCCTAAAATTTGGAACTCATGGTTGCCAACCTCGTAACCAAAGGTTACCATTGCAAGGGACTGCCGGCTCCCGCACCTTGAAACTCATGCTTCCCAACCTGGGTTAGACCTCATGTTTTCCAACCTAAGCGGTTATCATTGTAAGGAATTGCCGGTTGCGAAAGCTTGAAACTCATGGTTCCAAATTCCAAACCTGAAAAAGCATACGTTACCAGTGGAAGGATCTGTTGCTTCCGAAAAGTTAGAACTCATGGTTCTTAATGTTGTTTTGTTTTGTTTACTGAGCCGGAAACAAAACTTTTTGTTTTGCTTAATGGACCGGTAGCGGAATGTTTGCGTTTGGCTGCTGGGCCGGCATAATGTTTTTGCACGAAAAGGGTGCATGTCAAAATGATATGCGGCAACCAAAAAGCGCGTTGGCTCAGAACACCCTTTGGTCTAAATGATTGCACGTACGAGGGGTGTTGGAAAGCTGGGTGCATATGCTCCAAAATCTCGCACAGGGTCAAAAGCACCTTTGCCAGACTTCGCCACCGCACTCTGGACAACACCCTGCACAGCAACCTGCACAGCACCTTTGCCAGACTTCGCCACCGCAGTCTGGACAGCACCTTGCGGAGCACCGTGCACAGCACCGTGCACAGCACTTTTGCCAGACTTCGCCACCGCACTCTGGACAACACCCTGCAGAGCACTCTGGACAGCACCCTTCACAGCACCCTGCACAGCACCCTCCACAGCACCTTTGCGAGACTTCGCCACCGCAGTCTGGACAGCAGAGTGCACAGCACCCTGCACAGCACCTTTGCCAGACTTCGCCACCGCAGTCTGTACAGCACCCTGCACAGCACCCTGGACAGCACCCTGCACAGCACCCTGCACAGCACCTTTGCCAGACTTCGCCACTGCAGTCTGACAGCAGCACAGCACCCTGCACAGCACCCTGCACAGCACCTTTGCCAGACTTCGCCACTGCAGTCTGAACAGCACCCTGCACACCCTGCACAGCACCCTGCACAGCACCTTGCCAGACTTTGCCACCGCAGTCTGGACAGCACCTTGCACAGCACACCTGCACAGCACCCACAGCACCCTGCACAGCACCCTGCACAGCACCCTGCACAGCACCTTTGCCAGACTTCGCCACTGCAGTCTGAACGCCGGACTTCGCCACCGCAGTCTGGACAACACCCTGCACAGCACCTGCACAGCACCTCTGCCAGACTTCGCCACCGCAGTCTGGACAGCACCCTGCACAGCACCCTGCACAGCACCTTTGCCAAACTTCGCCGCCGCACTCTGCACAGAACACTCTGCACAACACCCTGCACAGCACCCTGCACACCACCTTTGCCAGACTTCGCCACCGCAGTCTGGACCACAGCACCCTACACAGCACCTTTGCCAGACTTCGCCACCGCAGTCTGGACAGCACCCTGCACAGCACACTGCACAGCACCCTGCACAGCACCCTGCACAGCACCCTGCACAGCACCCTGCACAGCACCTTGGCCAGACTTTGCCACCGGAGTTTGGACAGCACCCTGCACAGCACACTGCACAGCAACCTGCACAGCATTTGGACAGCACCCTGCACAGCACCTTTGCCAGACTTCGCCACTGCAGTCTGGACAACACCCTGCAGAGCACCCTGCACAGCACCTTTGCCAGACTTCGCCACCGCAGTCTGCCACCGCAGTCTGGACAGCACCCTGCACAGCACCCTGCACAGCACCTTGGCCAGACTTCGCCACCGCAGTTTGGACAGCACCCTGCACAGCACCCTGCACAGCACCCTGCACAGCACCTTTGCCAGACTTCGCCACCGCAGTCTGGACAGCACCCCGCACAGCACCCTGCACAGCACCCAGGCTCAAAAGTTCGCCACTGAAGACGCCACCTTTGAGAAGTAAGAACCCCCTATAGCTTGCCAGCTATCTGGGGAAAAAGGGTGTCTGTGTAATTTTCTACCGTGAGCACATCATTCATCACCGACTGGCGAGTGGGATAATGACAAGCACCTTTGCTTTCTGTTTGAGCCTAGCAACCGGCCAGAGGGTATTGTGCATATATGAATGTTATATATTGCACTGTACCTCAGCATATTAAAGGCAATTTTTCTTCTTGAATGTGACATGCCACAGACAAGAATGACAGGTGCAAAAAATACAATAACATACCATAACTAACAACACTACATATTCTGTCTTCGTAATTGTGATATGCAACAACTTTGCACATTAAAAACTTGACGATTCCATCCATGAATGCAGCACAATCCTTTCAATAAAACATTTTTTTCTTGGGCCAAAAGGTCCCAATATTGAATGTTCATCCAGCAGTGCAAGGCAAACAAGTTTTTGGTGGGTCCATAAGGTCCCAATATCCACTGGTACCTCATTTCTCTTAAGTCCTAGCGGATGAGTTTTTTCATCCAACGATGTAAAACATGCAACACACACCCTTGTCTTTCAGGAGGTCTATATGATCCCCATGCGCATTAGAACCTCCGATTTCTTGGGTCCGAGTGGGCCATGCATAGCTTTACCACACACGTTCACCAAACAACGTTCCGTTCAGCAATCAAGGCAGAACTAAGGTCGGAATTCCCCTGTGGAAAACTCACTGTCTTAGATCCTAATGATCCTAGGAACATGAATGGAAGAATGGTTTTACACACCAACAAGTGAATATTTCCAAAAGATGCGACACAAAACATTTTTTCGGGGGTTCATAAGGCCCCAATATCCAGTGAATCCAAACATGTTCGATCCAAGACTTGGCCGACACAGACTCGGAAATTGGGAGGTTTTATGACCAAACACAACTGGTGTGTGATTTGTTGCAATTGTTTTTAGTTGTTTGGATATTTTCGGTTCACCAGGTACGACTTGTATTTGCAATATTCGCACAAGATTGCAAGGTGGAAGCCACTTTTTGGCAACAATCTCAACACTTGACGAAGATGAGAACACTCAGAATAAATGGGAGTTTTGAGAAAACATGAGAAGTTTTGGGGCAAAATGAGAGAAACAATGAGAAACATGAGAAGTTTGGGGTTGGATGACTTGAAAATGAAAATACATTAGTTAATAAGAAAATGGGGCTGGATCACTTCAGGACTAAGGGAGAAAAAACCGAGAAAACATGAAATTATGAGAAACCATGAAAAGCAATGAGCAGAAGTGGGACAGTGTGAGAAAACACCAAAAGATAAAGATGTCAAATTGTGTCCTTTTTGTTTGTTGTGTTTCTTGTGGGTAACAGCACCTTGGATCACACCGTGCAAAAATTGCTTTACTTTACGACAAGTCTTTGGGACAGTGTGCCCCAAACATCAAGGCCGAACATATTTTTTTGGCTACATTTTGGACCTCTTCCGTTAAAATTGTGTTCTTGGTTCACTGTAGATTTTTCTTGAGGAGGCTGGTATGGCTACCAGGCCACAATGGGAAACCTCGGGGAGACTTTCTAAAAGGGCTCAGGATAAGGCTCATAGTTTTAGACGAGTTTAAGGCTCGTAGATTTGTTCGGTTTTAGGTTTCAAGCTCAAAGGTTTTTGAGAATTTAGACGTCATAAAAATAGGATGCACGAGCTGATGATTCGCGTTTACGCGGACTGCCTCCTTGAAGATTGAACTTGAACTTGTGAGAGTCAATGTTTGCCGATTTTTTGTTAGTGGCATTAAAAAACTGAACACGGTTACTTTATGTATGTTGCATTCATTTTGCCATGCTGGCCTCATGCAGCACGTTGCAGGTAAACATGTGTTCAACAGTTCCTGCACAAAAACACACAAACATACACAAACAATATAGGCAAAATCAAAAGACAACAAAAAAGGGGCGAGCAAAAGAACATAGAGCATTTTTGAAACTACCTTCAGGCACCTCTTCGCAGCTACCACTTTGGGTTGCGGACATATGCCTCAAAGACATAACCCCAACTGAACAAATCAAAGCGCCCCCAGGATCCCCCAGCTAACTCTCGTGTTCCCCTTCCTCTCAAGTTTTCCGTACTTTGGTAGCTTGGAGTTTCGCAAGGAAGTTGGAGTTGACGAGAATGACATTTCAGATTCTGGTGCTGAGACTCTAGCGGCAGCCTTGCCACAAAGTACATCTCTGCAGCATCTGTACATTGGTAAGAACAAGATCACAAAGTCAGGAGAAGGAGCTCTACAAAGTGCAGCACCATCGCCAATGAAGGTGTATTTCAACAGGTGACAACTGAGCATTGGAGAAAGAATTTCAATCAAGACCTCACACCCCGCTGTAGTTCAGGCGGGGCAAACTTCAATGAATTTCAATTCAGGTGCTTTAAAAAGAAGTACCTATTGCTGCCAAATGTTTGAAGGGGAAAAAACTCAAGCTGCAAGCGCCAGCGCATCCAACTGTTTTCGCATTGCTGGGAAATGCTTGTACATGCATGTTTACAAGTAAGCAGAGTGCTACTCAACTCAGCATCGGAATCGGAGTGAGCCTTCAGCTTTGCACAGCAGAGCAGAAAATTCGAGCGAAGCAGTTTGAACCTTGAGGCCCTGCTTTTTTCATCGTCACAGAGGTTTTCTTTGCTGTGAGATGGCCTCAGTGATTACCTTCATCAGATAGAGAGTTAAAGCCAGGCCAAATGCAGACGAGATATCTTAACTTTAAAATGGCTCCAGTTAGCCCAGTGCCGGAGACAAGGTTCTTCACAACTGAGCTCGTAATCCGCTTCTTCGCCTTTAAGCAGAAAAGTGATGGACTCAGCAAAGGACATGACCATTGTGGCCGTAGGTAATATAATTCCTCAGCACGAGACATGAACCCCACGCAACCTGAAAGTGATGCTTTCTTCTGCCAGGAAAATGCTTCGTCGATGCCTGGTTCATTTTTGATTTACTCTTGGCACACCCAACGAGATTGTGACGGGACTGGCATGTCCGTTCTCAAGCCCTGCAAGACTCGCAGCGTTCGACCGCCAGGTGGTGATGATGGACGTTGAAACTTTTGTTCTGCCTCTGATTGAAAGACCGACTCCAAGACTACAAAAGCACATCAAAGCACCGCAAAATGATATCACAAGGAGACCCAAGGGAAACTCAAAGGAAACTCAGGGAAGCTACGCAATGGACCCACCCTGAAACGACAGTGAACATGCAATGCAGCACCGCAGCAGCTACAAAGTTGATGAAAGTTGCATGTGCTTCGCACATGCCCTGCGAATGTTCGCAGTGTGTCCAAAATTTGCAGCGCTTGAATCTTCGTCCTGAGGTACAGGTAGTCCACTTGCGATGCTGAGCACCTTGCGCTTGTTGAGATTGTTTGGGTCCTAGACTGTAGTGCTGTGTTTGCTTGTACCTGTGTTTCAGGATGCATAACGATTGTGCGAGATTTGCATGGACCAAGCCTAGAAATGTCGGGGAACTTTGACCTGGGTGGGAGATCCCCCTGTTTTTGCATTTACTGCGCCCTGGGCAGGCTAAGAGTCAGTCGCATGGCAAAGCTGATGAAGACGTTTCCTGAACTGATGCTCATTGTCAAGGTCTCTTGACCTTGAGCTACTTTGAGACTTTGAGACTTTACTTACTTCATGTAATCTTCATGTCACTTCCATGATTTTCCCTCCTTTTCTCCCCAGTTTTCATCTCAAGGCATCTGGGTGGGAATGCTTTGGACACACCTGAAATATGACGTTTCGTCGCCTTCTGGTTCTGAAATCATTTTGGCCCCCCAATGGAGAGTTTTGTACATGGACTTCTGAAAACAGGGTTCTATACTTTGCACATGTCCGTGTTGTGGATTTTGTGGCAATTTGCCTTCTTTCCACTTGAAGATCTGTGCAAAAGTGGTATATTTAGAACTTTTCGTTTCTCAACCTTCGAACATCATGGTAACATCATTCACATGCAATCACAGGCGAGCTGCTCTCGTTTCTATCCGCTTGCCGATATTTTCTTTGCATCGCACTGTCGCACAGGGCCTTGCAGCAGCTGTGCGAGCTGTCAGCTGGACTCTGGTCGTGTGGATTCGGCACAGTTGCCACTGCGAGTTCTTCTGGAAACTGGTACTTACCGGAATACATTTTAAAACGTTTCAAAAGATCAAATTGGATAATTGGACTGTAAAAACCTTTAATCAGCGGTCGGTCATGGGCTTCTTGCAATCGAAGTCTGTGACGAGTTTGCCACAGTCAATCACGGAACTCGGTCGAATCCTTCAAGCCAGGCTTGTAATGATCCTTTTCGTCTGGTCTATTGTCTTCACCAGCATCTACCATCAGGGATTTGCAACAGATGAGGACTGGACAATTTGTTGGAATACTTGCAAGTCTTTGTGGTCCTGCTACTGCCACAAAGAAGCATTTTTAACTTTTCTTTTTCGATCTGAGGATGATTCCCCCAAAGTCTGTTCCACAGGAGATGAACATTTCTGGGATGGACATTGTATCCATTGTATGACATGACACAGCAGGGATTGATATGGATTGTCACGATTTTTTCAGGAAGTCGCAGAAAGGGTTTGCTCCTCAGTTCTCCAAGTGGCACAATACCACGAGTGTGAACTGCTTGAGATTTCGTGACAGAGTTCTTCAAACATGGTTTGGACAGAGTGACCAGAGTTTCACCTCATGCCCGCATCTCACCTGGCAGATTGAAAGTCTATTTGGCAACTTGAGCAAGAGTGCGTCAAAGCCTTGGAATGCAATGGTTCCACGGTTCCACAGACAGAGTGTCCTTTTTTGCAGTCAGAAGTCTATCCAGCCAGAACAGAATGCTTCATCCAACTCCTGGAATCGATATCGGCTTCGGTTTTGAATCAAGTGGACAGGTCAGCGTGAATCTGATATGCCCTAGATTCCTAGATTTGGGAGAGAGTTTACAATGATTATGGCCCAAATTCTGAGGTTTTCCTTGATTATCATGGGAACTTTATTGGATGAAGTGACCTACTGCTGCAACATGATCCGTCAAAGCCTGGTTCTCAAAGATTTGATCCATTTTTCACCATTGAAGGGAGGGATCATTTGGAAATAGGATTTGAGCACCTGGAAATTGAGGCGGAGAGCTCGTCATGCTCGGTGTCTTTATTGTTTCCTGCCTAGCTTCTTTGCAAAATGCTCAACTGCTTATGATGTGCTGATTCTTCGAGGTCTTCATTGTCATTTCCTCCTTCATGATGCTCAACATGCTTCTGGGTATCCTTGTAGAGGTTGTGGCCAATACTGCAGAAGGCCCTTTGTCCAAAAGGGAGGAACGCACAATAGCTGGTTGAATACTGGTTGTAGGTTTCAACGGCTTTCACAGCACCCCGCTCAACCAAGGTGAAAAGAACAAGGAGAAGAATACCATTGTTCGACAGGCATCAAGTCAAAGCTTTTTCAATTGCTCCAGGAAATTGAATCTGTTTGGATCTGTGACCACACTGTTCAATGGACCCAGGCAATGGCTGCTGTGCTCAATGATTTGGGTGTGGAAGGGACTGGTATATCGCAACAGAAGTTCCTGCTGCACCCTGAGCCTTCAAACGTGACATACAAGCAGTGCAAACGTACTTTATCATCAACATTTGGAAAATTGAAAACCTGCCTAGGTCCATGAGCAACAATCCGAAATTGCTGAAAGACTTGCAGGATTTGCAAGTCACGGGTACCAGACGACAATGCAGGGAAGCAAATCCAACTTGTTTTTGTGCAATTCAGGTCTTCAGCGATTCAGTTGCAAAGTGTATTGGTGGTGGTTCTGGTGTTGGTTGGATGGTTGGTCGTGGCCGTGGTCGTGGTCGTGGTCGTGGTGGTGGTGGTGGCGGCGGCGGCGGCGGCGGGGG